CGACGGGCCGCCGGAGTGGCCTGGCAGGGTCAGCGGCCGAGCGCTGCACCTCGGAGGCGGTCGCGCGCCGCGCCTGGCTAAGCCAGCGGGCGAGCGCTAGAGGCGATAGGCGAGCGGATAAGAAAGAGTACGTGGACGAGCTGATTTTTTTTTATTTAGAAATAGAAGAGCGGGGTCTTAGGCTGGTGTCGCGTGGCCCACTCGTCCGGCTGCCCGAACGGCCGCTTCCTAGCATTAGCTTTTAAAAATAGAGCCTCTAGTTGCATCGTGAGAATACAACATATGTAGTGAAAATGCAGATCTTTTTCCTTCAACACAAAAATACTTATCTGATCAAATGAGAAAAAAAAAGACATGGCAAATTTTAAAAATTGAACCTCTAATTGCATCGTGAATGTCACATTGGCGTCAAAGTGATACTAATAATTACGGTACCAAAGGAACACACAATGAACCTCCGAATCAGCAAAAGATTGATATCGACAGTGCAATTTTATTTGCAGCAAATATACCCTACACGCAGTGGCAAGGCAATGCAACGTTGCAGTGTCGGTTCAGTTTTCAGAGCGCGACGGGGCTCAGCAGCGGCCTCCCGGCGAAGAAGGCCTCGAGGTTTCCGGAGACGGTATGGAGCACCCCACGGATGGACTCCACCGTGGCGACGGCCTTGTGGCTCGACAGCACCACGTTGTCCATGTCCAACAGCTCCACCGGCAGGTCCGGCTCATTCTCGAACACGTCCAGCCCGGCGCCGCCGATGACGCCCTCCCGCAGGCAACGCACCAGCTCCGGCTCGTCCACGAGCCCGCCGCGGCCCACGTTGACGAGCACGCCGCCCGCGCCCAGCGCTTCCATCACCTCCCGGTCCACCACGCGCCGCGTCTCCTCCGTCAGCGCGCACGCCAGCACCAGCACGTCGCTGTCCGCGGCCAGCGCGCGCACCGTCGGGAAGAACGTGTAGGGGCACGGCGGCAGCTTGGGCGCGCGGGAGTGGTACGCCACGGGGCAACCGAACGCGGCCAGCCGCCGCGCCACCAGCGAGCCGATGCTGCCCAGCCCCACGATGCCGACGCGCTTCCCGCTCACCTGCAAATAATAAAGGAGTCGGATTTTGGTTTTCCATCTTCTTCACCTGTCCATTCATGCTAACTGAAATGAATCTGGATGGAGGAGAAATCAGCAGGGCGATTCTAGGCCGCTAGATAGCATGAATCAATCGGGAACCTTGGCGGCGAGCGGGTATTCGCCTAGGGCCGCCGCCCAGCCACCGTCTGCGGTGGCGACGTGGCGGAGCGCCGCGACGACCAGACCAACGGCGTAGTCGGCGGCGTCGGCGGAGTATGCGTCCCCGGCGTTGTTGACCCGGACCCCGCGGCGCCGGCACGCGGCAAGGTCGATGTGGTCGACGCCCACGGACGAGGCCACCACCAGCTCCAGTGCCGGGAGAGCGTCGATGAGTTCCGCTGTCACCGCTTCTCGGTGGCTTCTTGGGTCGCCGGCGCCATCTCCTACGCTTCTCGGTGGCGAAGCGGGAGCGGGAGCGGGAGCACGACACGACTGTGGACTGCGATGGAAAAGGCCAAAAGGGTACCGTCCAAATGGGCACGACTTTTTCTTTCGGAAGCAACGAACGAGGTAGGTCTGAAAATGATGCCTGAATTTGAGGACCTCTGCCGAGGCATGTTTAGATTCCACCCAAAATCTAAAAATTTTCAAGATTTTTCGTCACATCAAATTTTACGACACATGTATAGAGCATTAAATGTAGGTAAAAAGAATAATTAATTGTACAGTTTACCCGTAATTGACGAGACGAATCTTTTAAGCCTAAATAGTCCATAATTAGACAATTTTTGTCAAATACAAACGAAAGTACTACAGTAGCCAAAAGCCAAAAAAATTCGCATCTAAAAACGGGGCGCAAGCTGATAACGCTGTCAAGATCCAAAACGAATCCTACAATCTTTTGATGTGACACCAAAACAATCCATGTCCCATCGTCATGAATTATAGACTCCCAAGGGTTAGGATAGGATCATACGTTAGAGTTCTATATGATCCCACAAAATTAGGATCCTAATCACATTCCAACAACATTTTTTTTGTCAGAATTTAAAATTAAGTAATACTTATCAGAGGATAAATTTTTACATATATATGTTCAGTGTAACATGTTTGTATATTTCTTTTCACACATGTATACAACAATAACAAATTAAGAAACATATGTTAACTAATATTGTGCTCCGTTTCACAATAATTATATTGATAGCATTCACTTTATTACTGTCTAATGTTTGATTGTTTTGTCTTTTACGTGAACACATATGCAATTAGCCAGATATATATGTCATGTTTAAAGTACTTGCAATAACAAATCAAATGATGTTTCTCTCACTTTACTTAACACATCAATATATTAATAAATATCTTTACTCAAAATGTTAACAGTAAAAGTCAAAGTTAGCAATCATTTTGAAATGAATGTTAGTACATATTGAGCCTTTTGAGTAGATTATTGAGGCCCTGTTTGGTTAGATGGGACTAGAGACCAGTGAGTCCATTGTAGTCGTAAATAGTCCCTACTTTGCGAAACAGGGGGACTACTAGAGGGATTAAAGTGGGTTTGTGTTGTAGTCCCATGAGGAGTGGCTATTTGAGGAGTTAAATGTGAAAAACACTATTGTAAACTTCAACTTTTAAGACAGATATATTTAAATTTTTACAGAACCTATATGAAGTTACTAAAATGTGATGGAATCATGATTCTACAGTCCGGTTCTATGACAAAAAAGAAACATCCCCTACATGAATCCACATGATGAAAGGTGGATTGGAATCGACTGATGCACGTATCATATGAATATATGAATGCTATTGATCATATTATATACGCTACTTCCTTCGTTTCTAAATTATAATAATAAGACGTCTTTGTACTATAATAATAAAGAACTGCATTGGTGGCCTGATTTGCATCTGGGCATAGAGCAGAGTTTTGCATGCACAAATTAAGAATCATGCACTATGTGTTTGACTTGGTCAATCCATGGATCAAGATCAAGGGCGTGTTCGGCTGGCTGGCCAGCCAACTCACGGAATCACTATTCACATCCTGCCAGAACAGTATTTTCTTCTCACAACAATCAGACAGAACAGTATTTTTCAGTCTTGCCGAACATGCCTCAAGAATGCAGTCGCGTGGCGTGACAAAGTCAAGCGGTTACCTTGGTGGCGAGCGGGTAGTCACCGTCTGTGGCCCAGCTGCCGCGCCGGAGGTGCGCATCAGCGGCGGCCACCCTGCGCAGGACGGCGACGACGAGGCCCACGACGTAGTCCGCCGAGTCCACGGAAAACGTCGCGCCGGCGTTGGTGACGGTGATCCCGCGGCGGCGGCAGGCGTCGAGGTCCACGTGGTCCAACCCGACGGAGATCGTGGACACGAGCTCCAGCGCCGGGAGCCGGTCGATGAGATCGGCGGTCACTGGCCTGAGCCCCGGCACGAACAGGACGCGGGCCTCGGCCGCCGTGGCCGCGTCGGCGTCCGCGGCCAGGACGAAGCGGAACTGGCCCTCCATCACCGGGGTTAAGCCAGAGTCCGACGGTTGCGACAGCAGCACCAACGGCTTAGCGTCCGCGCCGGCAGCCGGCGGTGTCATCCTTCCGTTCCCGATTGGATCTGTAGGAGCAGAGGATTCGGTGAGTATAACCAATCATTTATTTACCCATTTATCAGCGATAATCGTTTACCCATTCAGGTGCAAATCCTGTTGCCAAACTCCTGTTACGTGACGGTCCTTACAATGATGACAGTTGGCACGCCCTCAGACGGCAAACATGCGGCTCTGTTTGGTGGGACTATAGATGTTCGTGCAGCCTGAGGCACGACGGCACGGCACGAAGTCCGTTTTTTAGCCCGACACGAGCCCGGCCCGGCCCGGTGCGGGCCCGGGTTGGCCCGGCCCGAGGGAGCAGGCCGTGCCTGGGCCGCTGCTCAGGGCCGTGGGCTGGCACGGCACGGCCCGACAGCAGCCCTGCCTCCCCTCTCCCCCTCCTCATTCTGCCTCCCCCCTCCCGGCCCACCATCCCCGCCTCATATATAAGCCGCACCCGCACACCGCGGCCGCGGCGGCTCTCCCCCGCGCAGCCCCACGCAGCCACGCTCCCACCCCTGAACCCTAACTCCCCGTCTCCATCTCCTCCGCCTCCCCATCTACTCGTCTCCATCTGCTCCCCGTCCCCATCTCCCCGTCTCCAGCATCAGGCATGGCTGGCGCTGGGAGGCCCCGACCTGCTTGCCCGGCGCCTCCTCCATCCCCACCCCAGGCGCGCGGCTTGCACATGGCGATGCCCCACAGGGCGGCCCTTCCTTCACCAAAGAAGGTGGCCCTCCCCCACCACCACTTGGTGGCGGAGGTGGCCCCTCCCACCAACAACAACAAGTGGTTCTGGCGTATTTCCCTCACCGGGCTACGGCGCCTTCCCCACCGACAATGAAAGTGACGGGGTTCTGTCGCGATCTGAGACGGGATGGGGTCGAGGGCGCTGTGCGGACGCGGACAGCAGGCGCCCGTGTGGCTGCGATCTACCCGTCTTTGCCGCCCTTGCGCACCTGCGGCATGTGAGGAGGTCGCCCGCCTTCGCCGTCAGGCCTCCACCGCGCTCTCCTCGAGGGCCGCCTTAGCCACTGGCGTCCGCCTACCCTCTCTCCCTTCCTCGCGATCACGGGCCTTGGCGGCTTTGGCACTGTAAAAAGGCGTGCTTTCCGTCCCGGCTTTGGCACGCGGAAAGTGGCCTGACAGAGCCATGCTCGCCGTCGGCTAGGCACGGTGGACTGGGCGGCCCGTCGTGCTCTACTGCGTTGCGTGCCTGGCATGGGCCCGTGTCGGGCGGGTCGGGCGGCGAATGGCCATCTTTGGGTGGGACATGGCAAGATGCACTGCCGACCGCTCGTTTCACACGCGCACTGAACACACAACCCTACCGCAGCAGCCGAGCCGATGGCATCCGCCGCGACGGGCGCAGCCAAACCAGGGCTCCTGCTCCTGCGCCGCACGGACGCCACCTTCACGGCCGCGCTGCGGCGCGCTTCCGCGTCCTCGACTTCTACGCCTCGGGCGCGCCGCTCCGGGCCTTCCTCACGGCCGCCGCGGCAGAACGGACCCCCGCGCGCCGCGCTCGTGGTGGCCGGCGGCGCCATCCTCGTCGACGCGGCGTTCCTGGACGCCGTCCCTCCCTCGGCTGCGTCGTCACCACGGGCGCCGGGTGGACCACGTCGACCTCGCCCAGTGCGCGGGCCGCGGCGTCGTCGTCGCCGGCGCGGGCGAGATCTTCTCCGTCGACGTCGCTGACCACGCCGTCGGGCTCCTCATCGGCGTGCTCCGACGCCTCGCGGCTGCCGGCCGCTACGTCCGCGCAGGGCTCTGGCCGGCGCAAGGGGACTACCGGCTGACCTCCAAGGTTCGATTTTTTCTTTCTTTCTTTTTTTCGGATCTTGGCTTCTTTCCATCTCCATTCAATTGATTGATCAGCTGAACACATACAATTGATTGGTCAGCTCAGTGGCAAGCGCGTAGGCATCATCGGTCTGGGCAGCATCGGCTCACAGATCGCCAAGCGTCTCCAGGCATTCGGCTGCGCCATCTCCTACCACACGAGGGCGCCCAAGGCCTCCGTCCCCTACCGCTACTTCCCCGACGTGCACGCGCTCGCCGCGGACTCCGACGCTCTGATCGTCGCGTGCGCGCTCAACGACGCGACGCGCCGCATCGTCGGGCGCCGCGTGCTGGACGCGCTGGGCCCGGATGGCGTCCTGGTGAACATCGCGCGCGGGGGGAACGTAGACGAGCAGGAGCTGGTCGCGGCGCTGCAGGATGGGAGGATCGCCGGCGCGGGCCTCGACGTCTTCCAGAACGAGCCGCACGTGCCGCCGGAGCTGCGGGACATGGACAATGTTGTGCTGACGGCGCACGAGGCAGTGTCCACCGAGGAGTCACGCGCCGACCTCCAGGAGCTCATGATTGGGAACCTCGAAGCCTTCTTCGCCGGGAAGCCGTTGCTGACGCCCGTGCTTCGTCCATAGTGCATAGCATAGCTGATTGATGAGATGGGTACTCTACGAGTTGATTCTATATATCTTACTGCAATTGGAGTGCATTGCATCTATGTTTTCCGTCTACAGGCCCAAGAACACTGATAGATGTGCGTTGCTGTCAGTGGCAACTTCAGTGCAGAGCAATGCAAGCCCAGGAGTGCAGCAATTAGCCCAACATGACAAGTTAATGGTGCTCTAGCAAGTTTGCAGTAATTTCGTGTTAATGGTGCTCTAGCAAGTTTGCTAGTTTACTAGTTAATGGTGCTCTAGCAAGTTTGCAGTAATTTCGTGTTTCTGTTGATCACCCAAACTTGGTTTGCTTGGTTTTGTACTTGTATTTGATCCGAATCATGTTATTTATGAGCACGAGAATGGTCAGACACTATAGGAAGACATGGTCTTTCCAGATTAAGTGTGTGGAAAGCTTAAAGTTGCAATGCATTTGTTTCATGTCCCTTTTGCGGTCTTCTTTTCTTTTTTGAAAATAGAAATAATTAGCCTATCTAACTGAGTAGTGGATGTTAGAACTTGAAAAGAAGCCTTTCTCCCCCTGTAGGCCTGTACTGAACTACTGACGAACTGAGTATGGTTGTGAACCTGCTACTGTTAGTAAACCTCATCAGTATTTTTTGGCGGGGATTAGTGACGTTTATTTTATTTGTTGGGGATGGAGCCTCGTGAGCATCAGGCCCATAAGCCCAACATGACAAGTACTGTAGAAAGAGACCTAGAGTTTTCGGCCCGTCATGGATAGCAAGACTTCTTAGTACCACTTCACTCCTAACTAGAAGAGTTACGGCAGTGAAAGCAAAAGCAACATCACAGTCCAAAAGCTTTCATGACAAACGTGAACACAGTTAAAAACAATGGCGGGCAAGTTGCAGGATTTGCGGCAAGCAATTAAGAAACCATAGAAAAATGGCTTCACTGATAGTAGTACGGTACTGTTGAAAGAAAACTCACAGTTTTGCATAATTAAACAATCGAAACAACCCACAAGGCACGATCAGGGCGACGCCGCCGCCGCAGACGCCGATGTCGTGGACATGGACGAGCCAGCGGTGCTGCCTGCTGCTGCTGCTGACACAGCGGTGAAGCCAGGCACCACCGAGATGGAGCTCACCTCACCACCGGAGCCGACGCCCGCCCGGCTGCAAAGATTCTAGCTGGTGTTAAAAAAGGGGGCACAGCAGAGCAGAAGCAAAGCAGTCAGATAGATTTTGAAATCTCAAACTCACTGTAGCAGACGCCGGGAGGGCGATGCCGCAAACGATTGGCAGATAGAGCATTCGCTCTGGGAGGGCGACGCCGCAAAGAAGCCTGTGCACGTCCCCGAGGAACACGGGACAAAGGCAGCCGAGCAGGAGGCCGTCGCCGCCGCCTGCCCCCGTCGACCGACCATCGCGGGCGACGACGACGGCATTCGCACATTGCCCGCCCAGACGGTGTACTTTGATTCTTTTTGTGCTGTTGCGGTCACCGTACACCATAGTACCGTGTAAGGCCAATGTCACCGGGGTTTCATCAGAGTTTTATGGGCATTAAATATGCTGATGTGGCACCGTATTGATGAATAGAGAGATGATAAAAGTTTTATGAGAGTAGAGAGAGTTTCATGAAGATGAAACTCTTCTGCACTATTTCCAAACTATGGATGCATTGATAACAGGGTCATGAAATCTCAATTGAGACTGGCCTAACCGAGCGAGATATCTGTAGATAATCAAGGTAGGATTCAGTATTTCAGTGGATACACGAACTCGAACGTGTTCACTGCCAACGTCGCCCTCAAGTACGGTTCAGGTTAAGTGTTCATGTTCGAATTCTCCTCTCCTCTCTCAACGATACAAGAAGGGGTCCAAGACCGCCCACTACCAGATACAGGAGATTTGCCGAGCTTCAGGGGCACTCGGCGAAGCTAAAAAAACACTCGGCAAAGGGTTTACCGAGAGTTACACTCGGCAAACAACACTAGGTGTCGGTGTTTCAGAACCGGGGGTCCTTAACCGACTAGTGAATTTGTGCTGCGTGCTCCCAATTCCGGATGGTGATGCAAAGAGACACAAAGGTTTATCTTTGGTTCGGGCAATGGATGCCCTACGTCCGATCACGAGAAGGTGTTCTTGTATTCCTTGCACGGGGTGCTTTCGTAGTAGGGGTTACAAGCTAGGCGAGAGGAGTTCGTCCCGGTCTCTGTGAGGGGAGGTGATATGAATTACGAGAATGAGGCGTGTTGTTCGTGCGTAGTATTCGTCACCTTATCCACTTAAATCCTTGGGGACGGTCCTGGCTGCCTCCTTTTATAGCCGCAGGGAGGAAACCAGGAGTACATAAGAGAGCTACACGTGGAGCGGACTATTCGATGACGTATTTACTCCTGGAGCAGCATGGCGTTGTCGTGGGAGTTCCCGCAGATGTCTAATCGGTATGGTCTCCATTGCAAGTAACATGTTGCGCATTTGTTGACTTGGTGGATTGCAGAGGCTCGGCGGCCATCGTAGCCGGTCATGCCGAGGCCTGTTGTGCCGAGGCCTGCCGTGCCGAGGCCTGAGAAGTGACCTAGGTGTAGATGTGGGTCTTCAGCGGCCATCAGGCGGAATAGTGCGAGACGTGCGCCTACAGGATATGGTACCTGTATTGTCAGTAAGGGATGGCAAAAAAGGTGATCTGACCGTTGTCCCGTCGCTCCTGTTGCAGCGTAAACAAGACCGCCGATCGTGGCTTACGTGGCGGGGTGTTGAAGCGATTAATCGGATCGACGACTTGCCGAGAGACCTTTGAGGCGAGGCGGCGAGGTTTGCGGGGCGAGCCCGCCTCGGGCGAGGTGGAGCGTGGCCAATTCGTCGAGAGCCCTACCGGGGGTCTCGGGCGCGACGGCGAGGCGGAGTAAGATCAGTGAATCCGAGGCCCTGTCGAGGGGCTCGGCGAGACGGAGCGGTCGGTCCGGCGATTCCGAGGCTACGAGGAACCCGTTCGACTCCCACGTTGCGATGTCCTCGGTGCAGAGAGTTAAGCGACACGATGGTCGGTAACTCCCCGCCTCTGTGCCAGATCGGATGGCGAAGGTTGACGCGATGGCGTGTAGTCGGTCACTTGTTTTGCTTTGTGCCATCGTGCGTCTGTCGGAGTGGTTGGGCGCTTGGATGCGACGTTCGGTCAGAGTAGTTTGGTCGAAGAGGCGGTCACGGGGCTGGTGCCGAGCCGGCCTCACGTGAATCGGAGAATCGGCACTTCTTCCGAGGCCCCAGGCGAGGGGGCCTCGACGAGGGGGCCTCGGCGAGGCGGTCTCGGGCGAGTCGGAGAATCGTTCGCTTCCGCTGGGGCTCGGCGACGGGGTCTCGGGCGAATCGGAGATTTCGGCCGAGACCTCGTTTGTTTATTCTGTTGGTTCTGTTCTTAGGGTCTAAGTAGTTTTTCGATCTTTGCTTGGGGTACCCCATTTTCTGGTATCCGACAGTAGCCCCCGAGCCTCGGGCGGGAGTGTGGGATACTCTCCCCGAGGTTTTTTCGAGACTTTTGTTTCTCAGTGGCTTTTGTCGGGTTTGTCTTATACTCGTGATTCCGGTGGGTGCGCGCGAGCGCACCCGCCGGGTGTAGCCCCCGAGGCCCTAGAGGGGTGAGTTTACTCCTTTAGGGGCTTTTTCTTCGTTGAGTAAGGCGCTCTATCGCATTTGCTAGACCCATGAGAGCGAGCTCGGGTCGCTTGTTTTCGTTTGGGGTGCAGGAGGAGCCCCCGAGCCTGCCGAGCCCTTCGTGTGCGAGCCTAGGCCGCAGGGTCTCGGCAAGGTTGCAGAAAGAGCCCCGGAGCCTCCGTACGTAGCGAGAGGGCGATCAGGAGTTCCCCTGGCTTTTTGTACGACCCTCGCGCGTCCTTTTCGTTCGGAAGGAGGGGTTGTTTGTCGAGCCCTTCGTATGCGAGCCTAAGGCCGGGTCTCGGCAAGGTTGCAGGAAGAGCCCCGAGCCTCCTTGCGACGAAGCGAGAGGGCGATCGGGGAGTTCCCGGCTTTTTGTACGACCCTCGCACATCCTTTTTGTTCGGAAGAAGGGGTTGTTTGTCGAGCCCTTCGTGTGCGAGCCTAGGCCGCTGGGTCTCGGCAAGGTTGCAGGAAGAGCCCCCGAGCCTCTGCACGTAGCGAGAGGACGATCAGGAGTTCCTCGGCTTTTTGTACGACTCTCGCGCATCCTTTTACGTTCGGAAGGAGGGTGGAACATACCAGGCTACCCTCGGTGGGCATGAGCGGTGACATTTCCGGTGAGCTTTTATCGGGTAAGTCCGAGTGGAGGCACGTGCCCCATTCGATGAGGGGTCGGCTAGTGGTCCGTAGACGCGCTCAAAAAGTGCAGAAGGCTTCCTAGCGGGTGCGGGGCTGTTCGATTGGCCCTAGGGGCTCGGTGCCTCCCTACGGTGGGATCCCCTTTAGAGAACTCCTTTGGTCTCGGACACGACTTAGGGCATCCCAAGCAATCGCTTGCTGGGCCCTTGGCCATGTATGGGCTCGCCCATAGTCGTCCCCCCGACTGTCTGTCCCGAGGCATTTGTCGAGACCATAAATGGCCCAACCTTGAACCTCTGGACCATAATGGGCTTGGTGCCCTTTTTCGTCAGCATTTTCCGACCCTCGGGGTGTGAGAGGTTGCAGGAAGAGCCCTCGAGCCTCTTGACGTAGCGAGAGGGCGATCAGGAGTTCCCCGGCTTTTGTACGACCCTCGCAGATCTTTTTTGCTTGGAAGGAGGGGTTGTTTCTTTGAGCCCTTCAGCGGCTGAAGCTTAGGTCGGCTGGGTCTCGGCAAGGTTGCAGGAAGAGCCCCGAGCCTCGCAGCGGAGCGAGAGGGCAATCAGGAGTTCCCCGGCTTTTGTGCGACCCTCGTGCATCCTTTTTTCGCGGAAGGAGGGGTTGTTTGCCGAGCCCTTTGGCGTGCGAGCCCTAGGGCCATTGGGTCTCGGCAAGTTTGCGGGAAGAGCCCCGAGCCTCGCGACGAAGCGAGAG